CTGCCTAGACCAGTGTTTCTCAACCTTGGCAACTTGAAGAGGTCCGGACTTCAACTCCCAGAATTCCCCAGCCAGCGAATGCTGGCTGGGGAATTCTGGGAGTTGAAATCCGGACCTCTTCAAGTTGCCAAGGTTGAGAAACACTGGCCTAGACATAGGAAAGTGATGAACAGCCTCCATTATAGAGATATGTCAAGAACCACCTGTAGGTAAACCTCAAAACTCACTTCCATGGATCATAAAAGAACAACAACAAAGATGATTAGAGGCCTAAAGGCTAAAACATGTGAAGATATGCCTGGTTTAATGAAAAGAAGGACCAAGAGAGAAATGATAGTAGTATTTAAGGGGCTGCCACAAAGAAGAGGGGGTCAACCTATTCTTCAAACCACCTGAAGGCTGGGCAAGGAGCAATGGATGGAAAGAACCAACTTAGAACTAAGAAATTTCTTGACCTCAAGGCTCGATTACTGTAATGCGCTCTACATGGGGCTGCCCCTGAAAAGTGTTCGGAGACTACAGTTGGTCCAGAATGCAGCCACGCGAGCGATATCGGGTGTACCTAGATGCACCCATGTTACACCCATCCTCCGCGAGCTGCACTGGCTTCCTATTGGTCTCCAAACGCGCTTCAAGGTGCTAGTCATTACTTTTAAAGCCCTACATGGCTTAGGACCTGGCTATCTGAGAGACCGCCTCCTGCCACATACCTCCCAACAACCAATAAGATCTCACAGGTTGGGCCTCCTCGTGACCCGTCAAAAGCGCGGACGGCAAAAGCGCGATCGACAAAATCGCGCCTTTGACGTCATCACAGCGCGACGAAAAAATCGAAAAATTCAAATAAAAATTAATAAAAATTAAATTAAAGCAAGCCGATTCACATAAAGGTAAGGGTTAGGGTTAGGTTAAGGGTTAGGGTTAGCTTTAGAGCGTTAGCGTTAGCGTTAGCGTTAGGGTTAGGTTAAGGGTTAGCGTTAGTTTTTTCGTTACTTTAACGGTTAGGTTTAGGGTTAGGTTTAGGGTTAGGTTAAGAGTTAGGTTTAGGGTTAGGTTTGGGGGGCTTAGGGTAAGGTTTTCGCTTTATTTTTACATTTTTTGAACTTTTTCGTCACGCTGTGATGACGTCACAGCGCGCTTTTGTCGAGCGCGATTTTGTCCTACGCGCTTTTGTGGTGGAACCGGGCCTCCTTTGGGTGCCGTCGGCCAGACAATGCTGGCTGGCGGCCCCTCAGGGGAGGGCCTTCTCTGTAGCTGCTCCGGCCCTGTGGAACGATCTACCCGTAGAGATCCGGACCCTTCCCACTCTCTCGGCCTTCCGAAAAGCCACTAAAACCTGGCTGTTCCGGCAGGCCTGGGGCTGTTGAACAAGGTCCAGCCCCACCTAGACGGAATGGATGATGTGTTGTTTTTAAAATTGTATCTTGTTTATTTTTAACTTTTAACTTGTTTCTGTAAGCCGCCCAGAGTCCTACGAGATTGGGCGGCATGCAAATTTATTAAATTACTAAATTACTAATTACTAATTGACAGTTGGAACAATTAATCAGTAGAACAACTTGTCTCCAGAAATTATGGATGCTCCAGCATTGGAGGTGTTTAAGAAGACAATGGTCAACCCCTTGTCTGAAATGGTATAGTGTTTCTGCTTGAGCAGAGGATTGGACTAGAAGACCTCCAAGGTCCCTTCCAATTGTGTTATTCTGTTATAACCACAATCAGATTCAGGCAGATGCTAAAATGATTTACCACAACAGAGAGTAGATTGATCTTAACAACATGGGTGTTCTGAGCCACGTACAGAAGAATTTGTAAGATGGTCCTAGATCAACAGTTAAAGTGGATCAGAGAGCAGCTAAAAGATTTGGAATAGAGATAGGAATGGACAACAGTTGTCCAACAGTTGTCATTTACGTGCACAATACATCTTGAGAAATACCGGACCTCAAGACACAAGATACTGGAATTAGAATGAGAAAGATATCAGTCATCTCAGATATTGTGATGATACCACTTCCATAGTTGGGAGCAAAGAAGGCTTTAAAATAAAACATGTTGTAGATCAAGGGTGTCAAATTTGATTTCATTGAGGGCCGCATCAGGGTTGTATTTGACCTCAGGAGGCTGAGGTGGGCCTGGCCGGGGTGGGCGTGGCCATCTGGATGTCACTCGTGTTGCGGGTGCCTATCTGAGTACTCCACCAGTGAAAACAGACTCTGAAGCTCCATTTTTGGCTGTGACAGCCTCCTGCAATCCTCTGCCAGTGAAAATGGAGCTTGGGGGGGGGGAGGTGGCTGTCTGCGGCCCTCGCAAGCTCTGTTTTCTGCTGCAATGGCCTCCTGCAACCCTCTGCTGGAGATGACAGAGGTATTGCCGCCCGTTCGTTCACTGTTTTCAGGGTGGCCCCCGCGGGCCAGATCTAAGTACCCCCCCCCGGGTCAGATCCAGCAGTGAGTTTGACACCCCTATTGTAGATGAAAGAAGAATGCAAAATTGTTCTATTGCTAAAAATGCAAGCAAATAAGATTATACAAACAGGCATTACCAATCCAAGGCACGTAACTGAAGTGGTAATAGATTTAATCTTCCCAGGGTTAAAAAAAAAACATTCACACAGTTATAACCGTGCTATAAAGAGACATCTGCTACTGAGGAGGACAAGTATGAACTATCTAGACGAAATATTAAAAGTCAGCAACTTCGTACTAGCAACAAAGGCACATATTGCCAAGGTTATCGTTTTCACGGTGGTAGCATATGGCTGTAAAACCGGAACTGTCTAAAGGACTGAATGATAAATGATTGGGTTTGAATTGTGGTGCTGGAGACAAGTAGAATGAATCATCCACTGTGAGATTATTAAAAACAAACCAACCCCCCCAAATGTACAATAGGAGCACTGATAATAAAGCCAAAGCTTAAATATTTTTTACCCATTATGAGAAGACAAGAGCCATTAGAGAAGACCCTGATTTTGGAGGCCAGTGAAAAAGAGGTTAATAGAAGACAAAGTGAATGGATAGTATTTTTGAGGGCATTAAGGATGAGCGTTCAAGAACTCAAAAAAGCAATCACTGGCAGAAAATCCTGGAGAAATGATGGCTGCAGGTCACCAAGCGCCATGAACACCAAAAGATCCATGCGGGCTTTTATTCAATTCCTCTTCTGCTTGAAAAACAGGTTTTTCCATGGCTTAAAACGGGGCAGCTCACCACTATAGAGTTTCAGCCTGATTTGGTATGGCTCACTCTGTAAGAAAAGGAGGATCCCAGAAAGGCCACTAGGTGGCGCTCTGGCTTAACCTGAATTTCACTCCCAAATTTAGAGAAAAGAACAGAAAAGCCAATGGAAACAAACAAGAGTTCAGAGGTTTTGTTTCCAGCTCTGCCAATAAGCTGCTAATTTGAACATCTGCTGCTGAAAACAGAGACATTCAAGAGGTGGTCCTGTTGCAAAAATAAGAATAATAAAAGCTGTTCTGGATAACGATTGTGGAGTGGACCTGACCTCACTCCAAAGGCCAGGAAACTCTTTAAGATTGCAAAATGTTACAGATGGTAGCATAGCTGCTAAGAATAATGCTAATGTGGGAATGATTAGAAATCAAACATTTGAGTTAGCAACAACACCTATGAAATGCTTTTCCTCGTCACATCTGGCCACTTGGGTTATTTCAATAAAATAATAAATATTTAATAAAATAACCCAAGCCAAACCAATTCTAGAAATAAGCCTTCTGAACCACAGGCATTTATAATGGATGGCTCAGACTGTTTAGTTGGGGGCAGTGGTGGGCTGCAACTAGTTTAACAACCGGTTCGGGTATCGCAAGCTTTGTGCGCGCATGTGTGCTTTGCATGTGCCTAACGCTCTTGCGCCAGAGGTGGGTTTTGGCTGCTGCTACTGCTGGTTCGCTCAGGGACGCACTGCGCCCACACAGTTTGGGAACAGTTGCTATGTAGTCAGGGGTGAGTTGCTACCGGCATTACTGCTGGTTCAGTGCAAAAAAAATTGCTCCATTTGCATATGCATTTACATCAAAAAAGTTCTGCGCATACGCAGAATGTTTAAAAAGAGGGGGGGGGGTATTACCATATTTTTCAGAGTATAAGACCCTCCAAACTATAAAAAGCGCCTAGATTTTGGGGAGGAAAACAAGGGGAAAATATCTGCCTCTGCCACCCAGCAATTTGCCTCCTTGCAACAAACAGTAGAGGCAATATACACTATTTGTAGTGTTATATTTCAGACTATACTTGTTACAGATGCTGTTAAAATTGATGTGCTTTCTGGAAGTATACGTTATTCTCCGCTATTTAAAAGAATAGCACTTTTTAAAACAATAGCACGGGGCCTCTTCAGATCAAGCATTTATTTTTAAAAAGCTTCTTCGTTTTGTTAAGTTTTCTAGAATAATAATAAAGCAGTTTTTAAAAAAATAAGTCTAATAATTTGAACATTCTATAGGCATTTATAGTAGTTGGCTTATCTCCTTGCAGCAAACAGCCTGATTATCACAAGAAAAAAAAAATCTGCCTCCCAACAATTTGCCATGTGGAGCAAACAGCAAGTTTCACTTTCGATTTCTCCCCATCATCAGCTGTTACAGGCTGCAGAGATTGCTATAGCTTATTGAAGCCTCCGCAAGCCCCTCCCCCTTTGCTGCAAAGAGATATATTGCTGGGAGACAGAGGCCAAAGGGTTGGGGCTGGTGGGTGGGTGCGTGGGGCTACATTCAGTGTATAAGACGCACCCAAATTTTCACCCTCTTTTAGGGTGTGGGGGGGAAATACGGTACATTTCTGTAATGGAGATTGTTCTGTGCATGCGCAGAACCAAAAATCAATCGGGTGCGTGAGCAGCCGAGTTACTACCTACTTGGCTGAACCGGTCTGAACTGGTAGGAACCCACCTCTGCATGTAGTACCCTCCTCCCCAATTATCCCATATAAGCCAAACAAGCTACCCATAGAATGAAGAGTCTTCATGGTGTCACTTACCCATTAGGCAGCTTTCTGAGGACATAAAAAGCAGTGTATGAATACCGGTACATCTGCAAAATGAAATAATGAGAGAGATTAAAAAATGAGATTAGTAGTGACAAGACATGGATGGTTGCTTAAAACCTAGTGTTACAAAGAAAACCTGGTTCAGTTGCATTTATTAAGGTGGGGGGGAGAAAGGCATAAAAATTAATTTTCTTCTGTTGGAGAGCAGAGACAATCAATCTACCTTCTGCTCTTGTGAGATCTTTGCACCTGGTCAGGTGCTTTCGTGAGTCCTGAGGCATTGTTTCATTGCCACGGAGACCATACCTTTGATGACATTGGGGCACGAGTTCCCAGCAATAAATAAATTTGGAATCACCAATAATGAGGACACTGCAGACTGCCAGGCAGAATTCACAGTTATAACTAAAGCCAAATAGAGAAATAGCCCAAAACACAGTTCTAATCCATTGTAAATATACATAGGCATTAATTTGCTAGCACCAGAAGAAAGGTCACAATGTCCTTTTCATGCTGTCGAGCGAAAGTTTACGGTGTCAACGCTTCTTCCTAAACTTTTGATTTGAGCTTCCTGTTTACTCTTAGGGGCGTAACAATTTATAGCAAACCGATGCATGCATCTTTGACCTGAGAAATAAACTTTGGCAAGTCTTGTGAGGATGAAATTAAAAGGAAGGTGATATTAGCATTGGGTAAGGAGAGAAAATGCTACCAAACGTAGCAGCTAGGATGCTAGTCCTCACTGCAATCCTCAGGAAGAGGTAAACCCTTAGGAGGAGCGTACTGTATTTAAATAAATAATTTAAAATAATAATATTCAAAGGATATTTACATTTAGTTCGAAATACAGGTTGTCCCCAACGTATAGCCACAATGGGGACAAAAATTTCCATTGCTAACTAAGGTAGTTGTTAAGCGAATCGTACCCAATTTTACAACCTTTTCTTTGTCATAGTTGTTAGGTGAATCACTGCAGTTCTTAAGTGTTGTTGTTGACTTTTCTTGTTGGAAGCTGGCTGGGAAGACCACAAATGGCTGTCACATGACCTTGGGAAGCTACAACTGTTGTAAATATAAGCCAGTTGCCAAACATCCGAATTTTGATCATCTCATGGGGATGTTGCAATGGTTATAATCATTTTTTTCACTGTCGTTATAACTCTGAATGATCACTAAACAAATGGTTGTAAGTTGAGGACTCCCTCTAACCCATAACAAACCTGTGTAAGTCATAAATATTATTATATTTTTTTAACTGTTCCTTTAATGACACTGGAACTTTTTGAGTTTTATGCAGGTGAACAAATGTTGCCAGCAACAATATCTTGGCATCTTCATTCTAATTTTTTAGGTTATTTGAATAGCTGCAATATTATAGTAATCTCTATTTCCACTGTAGTCAGGAATTGTAGTCAGTTACATTTAAAAAATCCAAATGGCAACTTTCAAAATTTATCTGTATTCATCGACTATCTGCTTTTGGGCCCAAATATGTATGTATGTATGTATGTATGTATGTATGTATGTATGTATGTATGTATATATATGCCAAATACCACTCACACATCACGAAATCTCCAGAACCCTAAAGCCTATAAACTTGAAATTTGGCATGTATGTCCCTCTTGGCTTCTAGGTGCTTGCTAAGAAAGGATTTTTCAAAATGACCATCAGATCATTAGTATTTCTTATACAGTTAGCTCAGATGCTAAGGAGTTCTACTCCCCCTCCCCACCTGAAAAGAATTCTGTTCCAACTGCCAGTTGCCTCACATTCCATTAACACAGTTCAAACTGGCAGACGTTCCACTCCAGGCAGGAGCAATATTCCCTTATGTGTTTCAATCACCAACCACCACTGAGCCAACAGAGTGAACTGGATTTCTCCTCCATTGCCTAATCACATAGTTTTGTTGTGAAGCATGAGTATCCAGCTAGTGCTTCTATAAAATTGCTTGGAGAGCAGTCTTTGCTTTGCTCCCTTCAATAGCCACAATGCCAAGTTCTGCTACTCAAGTAGGCCTCTGTGGTGTATCTCTTTCCCACTTTCCAACAAGTGTTTCTCAACCTTTGCAACTTTAAGATGTGTGGATTTCAACTCTCAGAATTCCCCAGCTAGAATTCTGGGAGTTGAAGCTTGCACATGTCTTAAAGTTGCCAAGGTTGAGAAGCATTGCTCCAACAGAATGAAAATGAAGTCTTTCATTGTCTTGGGATGCAGGGAGCAAATTAGTAACCCTCGACTTACGGCCACAATTGAGCCCACATTTCTGTTGCTAAGTGAGACAGTTGTTGAGTAAGTTTTCCTTCATTTTTATGACCTTTCTTGCCACAGTTGTTAAACCAATCACTGCAGTTGTTAAGTTAGTTACACAGTTATAAACTGAATCTGGCTTTCCCCTTAAGCTGGGTTGGCAGAAGGTCACAAAAGTTGATCGCATGGCACTGCAACCGTCATAGATATGAGTCGGCTGGCAAGTGTTTTGATGTTTGGATCACATGAAGATGGAGATGCTCATAAGTGTGAAAAATAATCCTGCGACTTTTTTAAAATGCCATTGTTAACTCCATCACTAAATGAACTGTTACATGTCAAGGACTACTTTTCTCTACATCATTTCTATGTAAGAGGTATTAAAATGCTGTCCATTCCCACCGCTTTTAGCGTGTGATTGTGTAAGAAGCTGTGATCATGGAAACGCTCTCATGTCTAATTGACACAGCACAGAATCTTGACATTTCCTGCTAACAAGGCCACTGAATTATTTAGATTGCAGAAATAAAGTCGACGTGCCCTGTTACATGTGCTCTAAATGGACAACTAATGAACATATTATCCGCTGGTAAATGTAACAATTCCAAGAGTTAGAAACGAGCTAAGTCCAGGCAAAAGGGTGATAGAAAGACTTAGTATATTTTTATATTCTCTCCTTGTATTTGCAGATATATACAAAGAAGGGGTTTTTATCAAACAATTGCACGGCCCCAGCACTACTGGAGCAGGGGTGAAATGCTCTGAAGTCTGCTACTACTTCACTTAGCGCAAATGCCCACCGCTGGCGCTGATCATTGGAACTACCGGTTCGTCCGAACTGGTAGCATTTTTTTTTACTACCGGTTCGCCCAAATCGGTTCGAACTGGTAGCATTTCACCCCTGTACTGGAACACACGAATGATAAATCACCACCACCCCTGTCATGAAAGCATCTCTGACCGCGGATTCATTTAGAATCATGGAATCATGGAAGGCTGGATACAACCTTGGAAGTCTTCTAGTCCCATCCCTTGCCCAGAATTGGAGACCTGGCTATCATGTTGCTATTTGAAAAAGATATACAAAGTCATGATGTATGTGAGCCTATCAGTATATCAGAGATATCAGACTCCTATGCCATCAATGGTTTTCCCTATGGCACTTTAGCGTGCATGAAAGTTGGACTTTGAAGAAGCAGGATTGAAGGTTGATGGACGCAATTGGCTTTGGTGTGACACTATGGTTAATCAAGAAAACAAATGGATCACAGAAGTAATCAACTCAGAGTTCTCACTTGGGGTACAAATGGCCATTTATGGCATTTTGAATACCGTGTCCAACTGTCTTGAGATATTGGGCAAGATGGAGGAAAAGATAATAATACAATAGAATAGAATAGCAGAGTTGGAAGGGACCATGAAGGCCTTCTAGTCCAACCCCCTGCTCAAGCAGGAAACCCTATACCAGGGGTGTCCAAACTCGTGGACTTCAACTCCCAGAATTCTGGCTGGGGAATTCTGGAAGTTGAAGTCCACAAGTCTTAAAGTTCCTAAGTTTGGACACCCCTGCCCTATACCATTTCAGACCAATGGTTGTCCAATCTCTTCTTAAAAACTTCCAGTGTTGGAACATTCACAACTTCTGGAGGCAAGTTCTTCCACTGATTAATAGTTCTAACTGTCAGGAAATTTCTCCTCACTTCTAAGTTGCTTCTATCCTTGAGTAGTTTCCATCCATTGCTTCTTGTCCTGCNATATGCTGACTCTGTAAACCGCTTAGAGAGGGCTGAAAGCCCTATGAAGCGGTATATAAGTCTAACTGCTATAACTGCTATAATATCACCCCAGTGCTGGGTGAGTTGCAATATCAGTGCTATTTGTGCACATTCCAGTAGATATAAGTTCCCTGAGGATGAGCTAAAGCATATGAGTCTGAAAGCTCAGAAGACTAAATTATGACTGACCAAATTTGGATCCTGCAATATTTTTTGTATGTTGCCCCCAACAATATGACTCCTCATTTTACTGACCTCTGAAGGATGGAAAGCTGAGTCAACCTTGAGGCCCGTCAGGATCGAACTCCTGGCAGTGGGCAAAGTCAGCCTGCAATAATGCATTCTAGCCACTGTACCAATGAATTTCTTGCAGAATTTATCAGAATCTCCCCAGTGATGGGGTTAAAGCTGAATTATATCCTTTTTAAGTCTTATTTTTAAGGTTAGAAGGTTTAGGCTGAACTCAGCAACTGTGAGAAACACATATCACCTGGACTCTGCTTTCAAAAGAAATTCATGACATGAGGACAAAGGTGAGAAGAATTGCATTTATTCCTTTTTAAAAAAATAAATAAGATTTTTCTTAGCCTATTATTTTTGATTGCCAGCTCTTCAATTTACAAGGAGAAGGAATTATATTATTTATTGCATGTGTTTGGTTAAGTATATTTATGAATATCAACTTCAACTTGGTAGAGTAGAATAGAGTAGAGTCGAATAGAGAAAGAATAGAGAATAGAATAGAACAGAACAAAATAGAGAATAGAAAATAAAATAGAAAATAGAATAGAATAGGGAATAGAATAGAATTTTTTTATTGACTAAGTGTGATTGGACTTTGTCTTCAGTGCCTAAGCCCTCAGTGTAAATACATACATACATATATAAAGCATATATAAAAATGTACATTTTTGTATTTTTCAGTATTGTTTCAGTTAGAATATTCAACTAAAGTTCAAGCAACTAAAGGCATGTTCTTTCTTAACCCAAGAGATAGACAGATGTACAACTGTGTA